CGTGTTTTGAATATTGCATCATCGTGTGTTGGCTATTACATCATCGTGTTTTGACTATTACATCATCGTGTTTTGACTGTTACATCATCGTGTTTTGACTATTACATCATCGTGTTTTGGCTATTACATCATCGTGTTTTGACTGTTACATCATCGTGTTTTGACTGTTACATCATCGTGTTTTGGCTGTAACATAATCGTGTTTTGACTATTACATCATCGTGTTTTGACTATTACATCATCGTGTTTTGACTGTTACATCATCGTGTTTTGACTGTTACATCATCGTGTTTTGACTATTGCATCATCGTGTTTTGACTATTACATCATCGTGTTTTGGCTATTACATAATCGTGTTTTGACTGTTACACAATCGTGTTTTGACTATTGCATCATCGTGTTTTGACTGTTACATCATCGTGTTTTGAATATTACATCATCGTGATTTGACTATTACATCATTGTGTTTTGGCTGTTACATCATCGTGTTTTGGCTATTACATCATCGTGTTTTGACTATTACATCATCGTGTTTTGACTGTTACATCATGTTTTGACTTTTGCATATGTGATCTTCCATGAAATCATTCCATTTTGTTTATTACGAGTGAAATCACATGAAATCATTCCATTTTGTTTATTACGAGCGAAATCTCACATGAAATCGTCCTATGTTCAATACCATGACCCACGCTCCCATTTCATATGTTACATATAAATAGATGTCGTAAACATGAAACCGGTCACTAAATGATGACTTTAATAAGTTTAGGTTTTGCCTATAATATTTTCATACAGTTGAAATGCCTTCCAGTTTAATGTATCTGAAAACCAAGTTGCACTGGTGAAGGAAGATGAAGATTGTTCTTCGTACAATATTGAAAGACAGCGATAAACAACAGTCATTTCTGACTGGTAATTCCGACGGTCAAGTCAGGATTCCTTGGCAGTTGAATAACGTGATTTTAGTTATTTTTTCTAAAAGAACAAAAAGTGTTTTTTTTTCAGTGTAAAACGGGTGAAATAATTCATCAAAATGTGTAAATAAAAATACTATCAGACAGCCCTGAACTCTAGCACTGTAGATAAGTTATTGTAGCAGTATTTTGTGCGTTTGTATTCTCTCAATAAGCTCGAAATGAGTTGGTACCAGTTTTAGGTAAGATATTCTATGCAGATGTGCAAAAGACTTGTCTGTAGCTTATAGTTGGCACTGAATGTGTTTTTCAACTGTGTAGAGATGGGACTGTCTTGGCTTAGGTAATATATTCGTCTTGTATACACATTTAAGATTTTCATTATTTTCTGTAGCAGTTTGAAAACTTCTCTCTGTGACAATTGCTCTTTTTATGATATATCTTTTTTATGGAACAGTACACTTTACCTGTATATATCCATCATATAATGTATAATCTGTATGGAATGGTGTAGTTTAGATGAAGTTAGTTAAAGTACAGGTTTGGAGGATGAATATATTTACGACTGCAGCAAAAAACTCTTCACGGCTCTCCATACCAGAGACTGACAAGTCTGACAAATTAATTGCATAGTTATGCTTAAAGATTATTGAATAGTCACAGCCATATATGAACATATGAAGGCATTTCTCTGAAGGAATATTGAATTGGAAATTAACCAGCTATAAATTAAAAGAAAATAAAACGATCCCGGGTGATGATCACTAATGAGGAGTGCTTGGAATTTCATTCCGGAGTCTTGCAGTTGTATTTTACCATGTACTTGCTTTGTATATATCGATAGAACAACTGTTCCCGTTAGGGCAAGAAAAGAAGCACTATATTTGAACTGTAGACAAGTGCTTTTGAAAGACTAACTGCCCAGCAAGTGAACATTTCTAATGAAAATTTTATTTAAATATTTGTCCTTTCTGTTCCTTTAAAATGTCTAAAGATGTCAAAATTAAATCTAACTGGGCTACTGTTTTGTCAACCTTCGACCAGTACTATTGCGGATTCCCAAGACTTTTTTTCTATTGCCCTATTGGCATGTATTTTCTTGTTTGGATTAATCCCACATATTTTCCATGAATTTAGTTTACAATTGTTTTTTTTCCATGCACGTGTATTTACTACTTAATATAAATTTATCATGGAGTCGTTCGGGAGTCAAAACCATACAACTACAAAAATCAAAATTTTCAGTAGAAAAAAAAACGAAACCATGTATTAGTGGTCTTTTCGTTTATTATCACCCTTTCTTTTGTGTCAGAGAGCATCTAATATGTGTTGATTATGTATTGTTTATACCCTTATTTTATTATGAAAACTCTCCATTTAAATTTGAATTGATTTATGGTTTTGTAGCCATAGTAACATAACCAAGGTCAAGGTCACCTGGCCAAACAATGTCCAAATTTTTTTTTTCAAAACGGAAATTTGATGTGGTTTTTGCCAATGTTGGTGCGTGTTTCAGTCTCCTGATTGTCCTACGGATACATGCTTTTTAGAGATCATGTAATAGGTAACAGATCATGCAAAAAAATGCTTTTTCAGTTTAGACCAGCTGACAATTTTTTCATTTGTAACAATTTACATTTTTTTTAATGTATTTACTTGTATGGAAACATTCTGAACCTTTCCCATATTTTTTCTTGTAATGTATTGTCTGTAATTAGCACCTTTCTTCGTTTTAAAAAATATTTCTACACCCGAGGAGTCGTATTATGGTATTACGTTGTCATTCCGTCAGTCTCTGACTATCTGTGAACAGATCGCTCTACCGGATTGATTTCAAGTCGCATCTTGAGGAAATCTTACCAAAGGTAAAATTAATTAATTAAATGCTTTGCGATGACTTTAAAACCAAATTGCAAGTAATTTGACCCATATAGTAGGCTGGCATATTGTGAGACTTTTTAAGGACTCTTTTGTTGACATTGAACATAATCCGAATGCTTTTATTGAACTGAGTTAATAATTTGCAAATACATGTAGATAACCATTTGTAGCACATCAATTCCAAATGTTCACCACTTTCTTCTCGCAGCTATGAGCAAAGTCTGATACCCATATTTAAAACAAATTGTCCTGCTTTCTCTCTCGATCACAAGCATTTGTATCAAATTACGTAGTAATACTTTTTGAATTGCATTGTTGCTTTGAATAACAATACATACAGCAAATAAATTGCAGTGTACAGCTGATGCAGATCTCCTTTAATTTTTGTTTCATGCCAAATTTAGTATCTTTTGTGTAGTTAATTTCAAATAAAAGCATACATTTGAATTTAGTATGATGTCCCATACCATCGTTCTTCTAAGACATATGAAATGTAACATCCGGATCTCATCCACACCCAGTGACCCTGAAAGGAGAGGGGACGACGCCGTGTAGATTTCAGAATTGAATACTGACGAACTAACGTCAGACCCCAAAAGCCGGACCAATATTCCGGATTTCCCAAATTTCATGGAGTTATCTCCCCTTTGACCATAAATTTACAGCAATAGACAAATGACCAAAAAAATCGTGGGGTACAACTATTTCTGAATTTAAACATCGTTACAGATATATCTGGACCTCAAACACGAAGGTGAATGATAAAGACTGGGAAAGTCTTGTGGTTGCCAACATGATCTCAATGAGAAATATTTTCTTGTATGATAAGATCAACGTTACACCACTCATTCATAAATAATTGAATAATGCTTGTAACCGCAATGCGAGTAACATTTCTGAAGGTCAAGGTCACAGGTCAAATAGTTTGCTTGGAAATAGTAAAAACTTTTAGGCCTTATATGTTATGCTTTATAAAATATTAAGATTATGCAGTCGTTTAATGATGAATCGTGGTAACAGTGACCTAGGTAGTCAACAAGTCATTTGAAGGATTGACATAGGCAGTTTAACTGCGGAAATGTCGCCATATATGATAATCTAAGATTTCTGTATTGGTAAATAATTTGCTTAACTATAGAAATGAAAGTTTTCTAAAATGAAATAGTGAATATGACCTAAAGGTCAATGTCAGAGGGAAAAAGTCAAAGTGGCTTGAAACCATAAATGGACTAATATGACGCTAATGTCAAGTTAAAATATATCACTTTCTAGAAAAAAATGCAGTTAGGAACGACATAAAATAATGTCAAAGTTATTATGTATATGGCGATATCAAAATTTGTCCCAAAATGTTTATTTTTACTCGTCTTCACCTACTTCCCATTAAATTACTGAAGCGAGTGAAAAAACGCCGAAATAAGAGTACTATAGAGTCAATTAGATACCAAAATCCTTTATCCGGACAATGTAAATTTTTTGACGGCAAATAATTTCCAGAAACCAACTTGACTACCTACATGGCATAGAGTCCTGTCGAAACTTCAGGAACAGAGATGTCATGTCTGTTGGAATGATATAGGAACGACTACAGCACCGACCACAGGAAAGAATTAAACGATTTATTAACTATTTAGACCTGTTAAAATGGGGTATTCTCCTTTTTATGACGTCAACAATGCGAAACATTAGGATAACAAAAACACTTATCTAAGACTTCAGCAAGGTAAGCGAAGAGTTATCATGCACATCCTCTTTATTGAGATGGAGTTATCAACCCTATGTTGCTAAATACTCGACGACCCTCGCGTTTACCAACAAAATCATTTCCTGGGGTTGTGATCTCCCAAATTCACCTTAAACGAGATGAAACAATCTATTAGTGTAATCATAGGATGGACAGAGGAATTCCTTTATCAGAACAGTGTTGTCAACTATGACATATAATGAGATAATATCATAAAGTTTAAACATATACATTTAATTAGAAGGTCATATGAGTCAGGGAAAAATCATTCATTCTCCCATAGGATGGGAAGGGGGGTACCAACTCCTGATAAAGTATCATTGAGTTGCATATACTTCATGACATCTGTATTGCCCTTGCAAAGATATAAACCAAAATACAACACTCCTTCGACTTTACACCATCTTTATCTGACCTGCTTCTTTGATCTATAACATTGCGTTCACAGTGGACAACGTTCAAGGATCTCCAGCAAACAAGGGACGTTCACAAATGTAATGTCTTTTCCTACTGCAATCACAATCAGCTATAACTCTATTCTTGGTTTTCAAGATGGCACAATCAGCGTCATATGGATCATAATCAGAACCACTGCAGTAGTTGTCAAACTTCAGAGATGGCCACATCGACTGGTTCAAGTAGGTGCCGTCAACAAATATCCATTCACCTTCCAACAACCGGTCTGTTAAACCGATCCAAAAATACATTTTTCCAGCCAGTTCTGAAATTCAAAAGTCGCGTATACCACAATGTGTTTAAATCAATGACACGTATGTATAAGTGTAAGTTTGACACTCCTGCAACAAAAAAGGGTGCACATTCAAACTTTCTTTAACATTCGGTGTTTGTTTTGTTTTTAACAAGTGCCCTTTTAGGGTTTTATTTTCATCTTTTCATATCTTGATTTGGTCTCGTCAATTTTGGTATCTCTTCATTTTTGTAAATATAACTGTTTTATATATGTTGTAATATTCCTGTGACCCTTTGCTTTTGTTTGTCTTTTATTTCATATATTTTTATCATTTCACGCTAAATCCTTAGAAAAATTGTTCTATACATTTTGTGATTCACTAAAAATTCTGCCAACATACCTTTAACATTTGAAAGAAAATAGTGCAGTTGTTCGGAATTCTTCAAGACTAACAGCCTTCCACCGTCATTCCCACAGGCAGCAAATGCGTCAGCCCATGTACGTCTTATCCAAAACACTTTAAAACACAGCATGCCGTCTCCCAACAGTGTATAACCAGTTCCAGCACAGCCTTTAAACGAAAAAAGGTTCATATGGCCTGTATCGCTCAACTGATCTTCTCCAGTTTTTTCTTCATATCATTTCTATTCACTATTATACTGTCATGTTTCTCCAAATATATGAGGAATTTGAAAGCCTCAAACTAAATTTTGAACTCTGTCAAAGCAGAAAAGCAGAATGACTATAAACCCCTTCCCTCTGTTTCCAACATGAGGCCCTATCTATATGCAAACCCTTGATTTACATGAAACTGGGTCCTTACCCAAGGGTATGTTATAAAGGTACAAGTACTAACATTGCAACCAAAGAATGTGGATTTCAAAGATTGTAGTTGTCTGTCTCAAATTGAGCTGTCTTCGTCAAAGAACTAAAAATTTACTAAATTTCCCTTATTGGATCTCAGGCACCAGGGGATAACGACCCACAGTTAATACATAATTGGTTCCTCATTAACCTTAGGATGCTTCTGAACAAATATAGTTAAAATACCCTCATCCCAACAGAAGAATAACAAAGCGATTCCTCTATTTCCCATGTTTGTTCCTTCCTCTTTGCCGCCATGGTGTCAGACCCATCGTATTAACAAAATTGAGTACTCTTTACCTTCGGATGCCTCATACCACATTTGGACAAAACCGTTCATGAATTGTAGAAAGTTAACGTTGACAGATGCCGGAGGAAAGATGCCACCCCATGCAATAAACTCACCAGTCCTTTGGACCAGGTGAGCTTAAAAATAAAATGAATTGCTTTAAGAACTAATCTGTTTTCACGAAAATGGATAGCCAAATATTTTTCTTCGCCTTAGAGGTTCATAGACCTTACGAGAGACATAATATATTTCACAAACTAATTTCAAGATCTATCTGTAAGAAGTTTATTGGAGGCTTTCCCCCTCTTCCTATATAATCTATATGGTTTCCATTATGTCATCAATATGTATTAAAGCCAATTTCTAATACAGCGAAAAAATGTTTTATTTACTGTGGATTTGATGTATAGGATTTCGACTCCTCAATGATAAAATGACATTTAAAAACTCTAAATGGATGTGCTTAACCTGTGAATATATCTATTATCTTTCTTTTTTTCAAAAATATTTACTCTTATCTAATCTATGCCCACCTTCAATGTGTTTGAAAACTGACCGTTGACCAATTGGGAACGGATCATTGCCTATCGATGGTTGTATTCCATGGAAAACGTTACACAGTTTGGTGACGTCATCATATTCAAACATGTTGCACATCTCGTGCATTTCACAGAACATTGAACATTGTCCACGCGACACAACAGGTGACGTAAGTGAAATATTTCCAATAATCTCATAAGGATGACTTATCATATATCTTGTCCATAGCTTTGATTCTATTTCGGCAAAGAGCAGAGCTGGAACAAAAATGAGAAACGTGTTAGGTTAAGATTATAAAGATACACATTGCAATAGAGATACAAATGAAGAAATAGACACAGAACAACAGACTGAATAAGACTGCATCACACAGCTGTTTTGTCTTGGAGGAATCGTTCTAAGAGTCTCAACTGTTGGAATCTAACAAGCAACAGAGAAAAATAAAACTTGGTCTTAAAAAAATTTCAAAACATATTTAGGAAGTAGTAAACCCAAATTTTCAATAACTTTCATACAGATATATTTGTTGTGATTCGGTGAGTACATTCTGTGATAAGTACACTTTGTGTTCAGATAAAAAACAGATGTACTTGACGTTATTCTAAATTTATCTGATGTACAAAAATTGCGAACTTTATAATATGGGGTTGCTGCACCTCCCTGTCTAGATTTGGACTTTCCTTAGTCGCCTCTTAGGCTTCAAAATTTAGGTCCTTAGCATCACTGACGAGTCCTAGAAGGACGAAACAGCAGTATGATGTAACATCACTGACGAGTCCTAGAAGGACGAAACAGCTGTATGATGTAACATCACTGACGAGTCCTAGAAGGACGAAACAGCTGTATGATGTAGCATTACTGACGAGTCCTAGAAGGACGAAACAGCTGTATGATGTAGCATCACTGACGAGTCCTAGAAGGACGAAACAGCTGTATGATGTAGCATCACTGACGAGTCCTAGAAGGACGAAACAGCTGTATGATGTAGCATCACTGACGAGTCCTAGAAGGAAGAAGCAGCTTTATGATGTAGCATCACTGACGAGTCCTAGAAGGACGAAACAGCTGTATGATGTAGCATCACTGACGAGTCCTAGAAGGAAGAAGCAGCTTTATGATGTAGCATCACTGACGAGTCCTAGAAGGACTAAACAGTCGTATGATGTAGCATCACTGACGAGTCCTGCTTTATGATGTAGCATCACTGACGAGTCCTAGAAGGACGAAACAGCTGTATGATGTAGCATCACTGACGAGTCCTAGAAGGACGAAACAGCTGTATGATGTAGCATCACTGACGAGTCCTAGAAGGACGAAACAGCTGTATGATGTAGCATCACTGACGAGTCCTAGAAGGAAGAACAGCTGTATGATGTAGCATCACTGACGAGTCCTAGAAGGACGAAACAGCTGTAAGTTATAGCAGCACTCACGAGTCCTAGAAGGAAGAAGCAGCTTTATGATGTAGCATCACTGCGAGTCCTAGAAGGACGAAACAGCTGTATGATGTAGCATCACTGACGAGTCCTAGAAGGACGAAACAGCTGTATGATGTAGCATCACTGACGAGTCCTAGAAGGAAGAAGCAGCTTTATGATGTAGCATCACTGACGAGTCCTAGAAGGACGAAACAGCTGTATGATGTAGCATCACTGACGAGTCCTAGAAGGACGAAACAGCTGTATGATGTAGCATCACTGACGAGTCCTAGAAGGACGAAACAGCTGTATGATGTAGCATCACTGACGAGTCCTAGAAACAGCTGTATGATGTAGCATCACTGACGAGTCCTAGAAGGAAGAAGCAGCTTTATGATGTAGCATCACTGACGAGTCCTAGAAGGAAACAGCTGTATGATGTAGCAACTGACAGCTAGAAGGAAGAAGCAGCTTTATGATGTAGCATCACTGACGAGTCCTAGAAGGACTAAACAGTCGTATGATGTAGCATCACTGACGAGTCCTAGAAGGAAGAAGCAGCTTTATGATGTAGCATCACTGACGAGTCCTAGAAGGACGAAACAGCTGTATTATGTAGCATCACTGACAAGTCCTAGAAGGAAGAAGCAGCTTTATGATGTAGCATCACTGACGAGTCCTAGAAGGAAGAAGCAGCTGTATGATGTAACATCACTGACGAGTCCTAGAAGGAAGAAGCAGCATTATGATGTAGCATCACTGACGAGTCCTAGAAGGAAGAAGCAGCTTTATGATGTAGCATCACTGACGAGTCCTAGAAGGAAGAAGCAGCTTTATGATGTAGCATCACTGACGAGTCCTAGAAGTAAGAAGCAGCTGTATGATGTAACATCACTGACGAGTCCTAGACGGACGAAGCAGCTGTATGATGTAGCATCACTGACAAGTCCTAGACGGACGAAAAAGCTGTATGATGTAGCATCACTGACAAGTCCTAGACGGACGAAGCAGCTGTATGATGTAGCATCACTGACAAGTCCTAGACGGACGAAGCAGCTGTATGATGTAGCATCACTGACGAGTCCTAGAAGTAAGAAGCAGCTGTATGATGTAACATCACTGACGAGTCCTAGAAGGACGAAACAGCTGTATGATGTAGCATCACTGACGAGTCCTAGAAGTAAGAAGCAGCTGTATGATGTAACATCACTGACGAGTCCTAGAAGGACGAAACAGCTGTATGATGTAGCATCACTGACGAGTCCTAGAAGGACGAAGCAGCTGTATGATGTAGCATCACTGACGAGTTCTAGAAGGACGAAGCAGCTGTATGATGTAACATCACTGACGAGTCCTAGAAGGACGAAACAGCTTTATGATGTAGCATCACTGAAAAGTCCTAGAAGTACGAAAAAGCTGTATGATGTAGCATCACTGACGAGTCCTAGAAGGACGAAACAGCTGTATAATGTAGCATCACTGACGAGTCCTAGACGGACGAAGCAGCTGTATGATGTAGCATCACTGACAAGTCCTAGACGGACGAAGCAGCTGTATGATGTAGCATCACTAACGAGTCCTAGAAGTAAGAAGCAGCTGTATGCTGTAACATCACTGACGAGTTCTAGAAGGACGAAGCAGCTGTATGATGTAGCATCACTGATCAGTCCTAGAAGGACGAAACAGCTGTATAATGTAGCATCACTGACGAGTCCTATAAGGACGAAACAGCTTTATGATGTAGCATCACCTAAAAGTCCTAGAAGGACGAAAAAGCTGTATGATGTAGCATCACTGACGAGTCCTAGAAGGAAGAAGCAGCTGTATGATGTAACATCACTGACGAGTCCTAGTAGGAAGAAGCAGCTGTATGATGCAGTTTAACTCATTATTTGGTTCTTCTGTATCTCACTCTAAGTTATGAAAAGGTGCCATTCACTTGTGTGTCTCTGGTACAGTCTCTGATCAGACTAGCACTAAGAGATAAAACTACTGACAAGACAAAGGTATAATCAGTGACGCTTAGAATCAAAATGTTAATGACAATTCATGATACAGTTAACGGCATGTGATTTGTAGTCAGTGAGAGGGAAAAAAAATAAAGAATACAGATAAAGAGATGAAACAAGAGGCAATAGAGATTATACGTAGCTTTGGTCCTCATTGCGGTTGATGTCAGTTCATTTAATAAATTCAATGCAAAATAAAAAAACATCCTTAAACGATCGAAGTCTCTTAAACACCCTTCGGAATATGCTGTGTTTAAAACAGTTTCCAGTTAAAGATGATGATAAGATTGGCCTCATACCAGGGAAGACAATAATTGTTTAATGGTATTAAAAATGGCCGCCGTAATTGTCATGTTGAAGTTTTGATGAAGCCGAAAAATTACAGAAAATGACAAATTACAACTAATTTTTTGCTTTCTTTTCACTAACATCACCAAAAGTTTCAGCTCTGTGGCACCAATATACTGGAGAAGTTCAAAATGTGTATTTTTAAGATGGCGGTCATATTGAAATTATGATCAATCTGACCATCAAACGGTTATTCCAGAACTATATGAGCTGAATTCCTCTTTTGATATTTTAAAATGTTAAACGCTTTCTTTGCACGGTGGACGACGACGGAGGAAACACGATGGAATCGTGTAATCCTAAAAATAGATCAATGAGGCAGTAAAATGTATATGTTTCAGAAGCTTGTATTAGTGGAAAACATCGATAACCTAACCAGCCGAGTAAAGCGCTACCGCGATCGATTCTTTATTAATAAATTATACATTTTGTCGTTAGGTGTTTATTGGGACACTACAAATAACCTTTAATAAATATCAAATTGGAATGTGGGCAAAATCTAATGTACCGTGTAAAAGATCCTTGAAAGTATTTTATGGCCAATCACCATTTTGATAGATTGAAAAAAATTAGACACAAGAATCTTTTACTAAATTGGGATGTGGGCAAAATTTAATGTAGGCCTACCGTGAAACAGATTATTTAAAATATTTTATGGCCAATCAACATTTTGATGGATTTTTTAAAAAAATTCTTGGACAGAAGAATCCTTTGCTAAATCACACAATGTCTGACTAATTAAGTGTATTCTTTAATACAGTCATACGTGCTTAAGGAAACTTAGCTGTGTTATTTATAGCATAGACTGTTCTTCAAATCCTTATAAGGTATTTTACTTACTTCCCGTGTCATTGCAAAAAAAAAAATGAAAAAAATAAATATAGGGAAGATTTTAGAGTATTTTATTGCTACTAACTAACAAGTGTTATAGTATAACATGGATTACAAATTAAATTCTTTGCAGAATTAAGTTAATAATATTGAATTGATGATGGTGGAACACGTTAATAGATGGAGTAGTTAATTGAAATATACAATTAATGAAAGATAAAAATAAACATTATTAATATTCTTCGTTGTATTTTCTACGAGTAAGCAGTTTCCATCTCACTCGATAAATCTCTCTCTCTCTCTCTCTCTCTCTCTCTCTCTCTCTCTCTCTCTCTCTCTCTCTCTCTCTCTCTCTCTCTCTCTCTCTATATATATATATATATATATATATATACCTCTTTTTATCGTTGTTGCTACGTAATTACAAAATATGATATCCAAGAAATTCTCAATAAAAATTAATATTTATTAAAATCGTATTTTTGGTTCTCTCTCGTCCCAGTTGTACACAGAGGCAAATCCTGTAACATAGTATAGAATATAGTTGGTTCAAATAATTGGGCTTTAACAGAATTCAGAAACATGAGTAATCCAATACGGTATTTTTTTCCGGTCATCTTGAAATATTATAATTATTACAATAATGCATTA